AATAGTAATGTACCTTGATTAGAGAGTATCAGTCTATTCCATATATAATTTATAGTTATAAAGACTAGTTATTAAAATGAATCAAGACAAAATTTCCAAATAGAAACTGTTTTTGAAACAAAGGAATGAAAACTTGTGCCTTGTGAGGAATGGTGGCAGGATTTACAAACAAACAGGAAATGTGGAGAGCTAGGCAATTGTATGTAAAGATGAAATATCTTAAATGATTCACGAGACCATATGTTGTCAGACTGTAGATTTATTGATAGTTGGTAAAAAATAATTATGAGGTGAACTTTAATGATGTCATGGATTCAAAGGTAATATTGATCTAAATTCTCCCTAGTCCTCTCCTCTCCCCTCTCCTTTACTCTGATCTTTTTCTTTCTTCCATCATTCTCTTTCCTCTTCTCTTTCTCTCCCTTCATTTTCCTTCCATTTTACTCTTTCCTTTCTGTTTACTTCCCCACTTTTATAGCACATTTTCTCTCTCCTAGTGGAGTCTCTGCTATATCACTGCAAAGATTAAGCAGCATTGGAAGTACACAACAACTCTTCAAGATGCAAGGTCAAGTCAGGTTTGTTAAGTTACAGTAGTGGGTCATTTATTTTTATTCTGGGCATCAATTATGAAATACCCATAGTATGTTTTCTATTTGCCTGGATCTTTCTTGTGTCTATTGTAAACAAATCCCTGTGTCAAACACTTATGTTCTATATAGGCTGTCTCTTCCCTCAATCCTACTTCTCCTTTCCTACCCTTCCTTCTATTCCCTCTCTCTTCTTTCGTTCTCTTCTCTTTTCTTTATCTTTCTCCTTCTTCTTTTTTACTATTCTTATTCTCTTCCTTTTTAAGATTACTCCTCATTGTTCCTTTCCCTTTCTCTCTTTCTGTCCCCTTTATCCCTCCTTGTTTTGTGGTGCATGATCGCAGTAGCTTTGCAATATTTTCTACATTGCCTAACACATTGATAAAACAGCCCTGAACTGAAACTTTTGAAGCTGTAGGTCTAAAGTATTCCTTCTTAAAGTTGTTATTCCTGGTGTTTGAAGCAAAAATCACAAGTGTCTCAAGGTCTTTGAGAGGGGAGACTTCATGGGCTGGAAGAACCTACTGGACCTCTCTCTTATGTAAATGATCTTCAGTTGCCTAGCTTTCCATACCCTTAGAGCTGATGATGGCATCAATTTGATATCTTACAACTCAAACAAATTAAATATCACAAAGGACTGTCAAATAGATCATGTTTGGCAGAGAATCAAATTTCTTCCAATATCACAGTACTGCTAATGCTTTACTTTGAGTTCATCAACCTCTCTATATTATAATAATTTGCATACTCCACGACACACAGCGATTCTTTCCATGAAGAATATTCTACCTGTACTGGAAGAGGTTTTCTGCAGCTTCTCAACTTAAAAAGAAGATACTTTTAAATTTTATCTCAGACACACACAATTAGATTTTATTTTGCTAACTAGTTTTGTTGTCCAAAAAGATAATGGTTTCAAATATGGAATTGCTTGTCTGTCTTGATAATGTTATAAAAGTGCAAACAGAGTCTGAACAGAGAATTTATCAATGAGATCTTTACCCTCATTCTACTCATACAATTCTTTTCTTTTTCCTGTTAGAGTTGGTAGCACAATACTAATATCTTTCAACACAAATGGTTTTATTATAGTAATTTAAAACAGAAATACCTATTTGTGGATTGGGTATCAAATAACAGTTACATATCGCAATAAACCTGCTGCATTAGTATAGGCTCATTAGAACAATTGAAAATGACTCTGGGCTGCAAAGTTACTTAATAAAACTGATGAATTAATTCGTATTTGAATTTTTATATATGCATACTGGGACTTCCATCCGTCTCTTATCTTTGGCTTCTAAACTCTAGTTTCTTATCTTTCACTATGACAACCTACAGGTGAATTCGCCTGCCTTTATTTTCACTATCTCTGTCTTCCTTATGAAGCTGTTGGCTCATGTTCCTCTGAATTTAATTATGCTGGTTTTCTTCCTGTTCATATCGTGACTTAAAGAAAGAAAATATTTGAGTTATCAACCTGACCTTTCCTATTCATTTTGCATGAAATGGAATCATGGGCTGCTCTTGTAAAATACACTGAAGGCACTATGCAGTCTATAGGGTTAATTGTTATTTTAATGAGCATGACATGCAGCACTGGGTAAGAATATGATTTTAAATGCTACTAGCTATAAAGGTCACATATCAGTGGAGTGGCAAGTTTTTATGGTGAACTGCTTAGAACCTGGTCTAGTTTATGCTTACAATCATGTTATTCTTCCCATAATACAGGCCATATACTTTGACAGCATACTTGAAATTTTTTGAAAAAATAATGTGTCTTAAAATATTTTCTAATATCATAGTGTTGATCCGTAGTAATAAATGGTCAAAATTAACCTCAGATATAGACTAACTATTAAAGATCAATAGGCATAATTAATAAAGCTACATTCCAATGATAAATGTTCACATAAGATTTAAAAATTTATCTATGGAGAGAATACCATTGTTTGGCCATCACAATTTTTGTGTTTGCCTTTATAAACAGCACTGAATCATGTAGCAAGGTACAGGATTATTCTGAAGTGAGTGATGGAAGGGGATTTGCCCAATCAGACGAAAATTGAATTATATCTTCCATGGTAGAGAAGGGACAGAAGGACTAAGCCCAGGAAAGGGAGTATAAGTTCAAAGTTAAAGAGTAGACTTGAGACACTGTTTGGAGACACTACCAAGAAGGTCAATGGGAATGATGCAGAGGGCCTTGGGAGATTAACTACGAGGACTTGGGACCTTAAAGATACATCAGACATGTACTATGTAGATTTGAATTTTATATGAAGAGTAGCAATTGGTTAAAGCTGAGGTCCTAAACAGTTGCTATTTAGAAAATTGCCATTCGAACAGTGATGAGGAGAATAACTGGAAAGGATCTGAAGTCCTACAGCTGGGAGTAAGTTGGAAAAGCAAAAGAAAGCTGAAAAGTGATAACTGGACTCCACATTCCCAGTCTATGCAAAGATATACTTTTGTAGAAATGAAATTGAGTGCAGTGGTGCCTTTTTTGACATTTTAGAATAAATGGAAGAGACTACAAAATTTAAGAGTCTACAAAATTCTCTCAGTCTCCAATCTACTAAAATGAAACATTCCAAAAAGATGCAACTCAATTCTATGAATGAATCAACTTTAGTGATGTGGGAAAAGTCTGTCTGTATATGTGTTGCTTTTATTGATAAATGAATAAAGAAGCTGCTTTGGCCTGTAATAGGGCAGAATAGAGCTAGGTGGAAAAACTAAACTGAATGCTGGGAGAAAGTTGGCAGAGTCAGGGAGATGCCATGTAGCTGCCCATGGAGAAAGAGCAAGCGGCCAGCAGGAACATTTAAGGTAGGCCATGGACCTCATGGAAAAATATAAAATAATAGGAAAGGGTTAACTAAAGATGTAAGAGCTTGTTAGGAATATGCTAGAGTCATTGGCCAAGCAGTGTTGTAATTGATAGTTTCTGTGTGAATATTTAGGATCAGGGCAACCAGGAACGAATGAACAGCCAGCACTTTAGGACTGTTTCCACAGCAACTGTGGTTTCACCATCTTATATCTATACAATCTAAACTATCAACTGGTGACCTCAAAGGTTGACTAGATGTATGTTTGAAGTTTTCTGGAGAGAAGAATTGTGATAAGTAATCTAGAAGTGGTGGTACTAGGAACTACAGTGAGCAAAGAAATACAACAGGTAAAGATGAGATGTAGGTGAGTTATTTCTCATAGCTGGACCTTTTATGAAAACCCAAAAATGGTTCACAGGAATCACCTGTCAAAGGCCTGTTAATGAGAAAAGTATTTATATGTGAAATTTGCTAAACTATTTTGTAGTCAGACAAAAGAATGTGTAGAACTCAAAAGATTAGGATGGATCTTCTGGCTGCTTGTTAAAATTTCATCTGTGATTGTAGGTTCTTCAGTGTTACTGATGGTACTGGCAGTTTTCCCACTGGCAGGGAATGGTCCTTGCTCAGGAATGGTGGTTATAGCCCAATGTTTTAGAGACCAATGAACTCATCTCATGTTAACATCTGTATTTCCTGCTGTTTCAAAAGGTGATCCTGCCCACAGAGAAGACTCAAAATGTTTTACCTTACCTTGGGAAATTCCAGCCACCTCTGGAATGATTTTTCTGAGCTCAGATTTTTGGACATATGTTTGATTTGGCTGGCCAGTAAGTTGTGAAGAACAAGTTGCATATATACGTCTTTGAACTAGCATAGATATGCATAAATATTGATATGTGTAAATGATCAGATATATGCAGATACGTATCAATGTGTATGAGTAAAACAGGCCTACCATCAGTATAGGTTTTACTAGAACATTAAGGTTGAAATAAAAGCACAGATAGGGAGTAGGAACCTGCACAGCCATTCATCCCACAGTCGTACAATTGTACTCACAGCTTTCAGCAAGATTAGTATGCTCAAATCCAAAGTGGCCTCTAAAATAGCTTCTTAAATAGTTCATTTATTACTCCTGTAGTAGTTTGCTACAAAGTGTGGGTTTATGTGAACAGTGGTAATCTTTCCTGGCATTGTGATGCAATAATGTTTGTGTTTATTTTCTACCATCCATAGAACTCTCTTTGTCTCACAAGGTGCTTTATTGGTAAGTAAAGTATGGCTAGAGAACAAAGAAGGGGTCATAATATTGAAAGACTCCCTGACACTAAGAGGTTAATCGATCACCATATGGCTTCTTAATGATCCACTGTCTATTCCTTCATCCGAAGGCAGACATCCAAACACTGCTGTGCACTCCAGGATCCAGTGTCTGGAGGGTTCCATAAGGCAGGGTTTTCCGGCATTTCTGGCTCGTAGAATCTGACACACTGCTTGTCACTTAGTAGGATCTCAATAGTTTCCTGAACAGCGTATCTCCAGTGGTATATGATACTTCAAATTACAATTAATTAAATAAACAGAAATATTAAATACTGATTCATTTATGCTCTAAAATTATTAGCCTAGATCGTTTGCACTTGGTGATGGAAATGCAGTATCTGGAAGGGAAATAGAACAAGACACCTCTTATCACTGGGCTTATCATATACACAACTAGCAGGTAAGCAATGAAGGCTGGGAGAAGAAATAAATAAAATAATTGCTATGATTTAATGAATTTAATACTATAATGGAATAGTAAAAATAAAATTTAATCTATTTTGATTTGAATAATAAGGCATCTTGTCTAGATTCATATTTTGATTATACAACCACCATGAGCTTCCTGAAAATAAGAAAAGCTTTTACAGTAGCTTTCTTTCTTATTGCATAAACCATTATCTTATAATGGTATAGAAGCCATATATCATGATCATGACTAGAGTGAATTATGTCATTAAAATATGAGTTTATGCGTATCTATCATTATTTTATTTATTTCCTTAATTACTATGGAGAAGCACATGCATAAAAGTCAGTGGAGAATTTCTAGTGTCCTCTCCTATCCTTTCTCTTTCCCTGGAGACAAGGCCTCTCACTAAGCATGAAGGCAGGCCACCTACCAGTGAGTGTGTATATATATTAAAAATATATATGTAAATAATATGTGGATACGTGGAAAATATATTGCATATAACCAAGCTGGATTTAGTTAGTGTGTGTGTGTGTGTGTGTGTGTGTGTGTGTGTGTGTGTGTGTAAGACTTCTGCATTTTACTCATATATATTCAGGAAGAAGAAGAGAAAATATGTCATTATCTGGGTAGAATTTAGAGTCAAATTAAATAGATTAAAAAAAACCTTTTCTAAGCTGTCAGAGAAAATGTTGAAGGGCTTTCAAAAAGCAAAGAATAATCTCTTGGGCAACCATATCTATATTTGCATTGCTTGTTTCAGAATAAATACAAAACAAAAAATAAATGAAAAAGAAGCTAAACAAATCCATGTCATATGTTTCTGACACCACATCATTTTGAAAAGTGCTGGTTGGTCGCCCCTCCATGATGTGCCTGCCTCTGACATTTTAAGATCACAAATTGCTTCTAGAAAACACTTTCTCTTTTCATATTTACAGTTAAAAAGCCTTTTCTTCTTAATGGTTAATTAGGTCACTAATCAAAAGAAGCTCTTAAGAGGAAAATGAAATGTTGACATTTTGCAATTATTTGCTACTGTGAATAATACATAAACATATTACTTATGGAGAAAGCAGCTTTCAACCCTCTTATCTTCCCAGAAAGCTCAGGCTGACAGCAGAATCCTGTACTTTGGGTCATAGATTTCTAGAATACCTCTTCTATTTATATTGACTTTGAGTTACTTACATGCCATTAATCTCCTTTCGAAAATATTGGAAATGTGTTTATACCATGGATGCATACATACATACTTGTGCCTACATTCACATATATGCATACATGTATATGTTTATCGATGCATGGATTTATATATTTTTGTATACATGTATTCATGTAAATTGATCTTATATATTTTCAGTTACAGTCTGAAAGGGAGTTTACATTACCCAATGATATGCGATTGGTTATTTGATGTGGAAACTCCCTTAGAAGTGATTTTAACCATAAATAATTATTTTTCTAATAATTCAAATTTTCATCGTTCACTTTCTGAGTTCTTTAGCGTTAGGATTACAAGTCTAAGGCTCGTAAACAGGACTCAGATACAGTGTCTTCCATTTAGGAGCTGAGAATCTGGAAACTCTGACATCAACAAGGACCATGTATTCATACAAAGTCACTAGGCATGAAAAAATTCCATGGCATGACAAACATTGAACATCTTACTCTGTGCCATGCACAGGAGTACAGATAAATCATGATTTTATTTTTAAGAAGGACCTCAAATATTCAAACTTATGTTGTTTATAGTAGCAGGAATGGTCGGGTAGCTGAGAATTACTAATCCTGAAGGTCTAGTTAGGAAAAAGATCAGTATGTTCTTGCAATCTACTATCAAATGATGATGTGTCTCCAATTAAGAATACTATATTTCATGTTTTGAATTTATGAAAATAGTTGTTGCCATGTTGAATTTTTAATTAAAAAAATAATGTGAAGACTTGTATAAGTTACCTATTTTCTGACTCTTGCAATTTAGATAAATTTTTCTTTTATTTAACTTCAGCCATCTGTCACATTGTCAAAGAAACAAACACCGAGGAGCACATCCCTTCAAAACCAGCATTTTACTGAAGAAGTTCGGCCATCCCTACAGCTTGGTACCAACATTTACTAAATCCAACACACATTCTATCTCCACCACTCTGTCTTTATCAACCTGCCATGACTTTCTTCCTAGATTACTGTTTAATCTCCACTTTGAATTCATGCCTTCCTTGTTTTTCTGTGGTTTCTTAAGTTTTAGTTCAAAACTGCCAATTTAGAAATGCCAGTCACTTCAGGAAAGGGTTGTAGAAGGAAAGAACTACTTTGGGCACATTTCCACAAAAGAGTTCACAGCTTCTGCCCTGAGAGAGGACTCTAGGACCTTTGACGGTCCTAGGAATTTTATTTTGCCTCTCCTGAGTGTTGTGTGAATCCTGGAAATGCCAGGAATTTTCCATTGTGCCAGTCAAGCTCCATTACCTGTTTCCTTCCACATACAGATTTCTTCCCTGTCTGTTTAGCTTTCTTTTTGCATCATGGATATTAATCATAAATCTGGAGAGGCCACCCAATCTGTAAAGCATTTGCCTCAAAAGTATGAAGACATGAATTAGATTCTCAGAACTGAGGTGATGTACTACAGACAAGGACGCAAAGAACTGCAACCTCGATGCTGGGGAAGCAGAGTCAGGAAGAATGCATGGGCTGACTGCACAGCTTTCTACCCTATTTGGTGAACTCCGGACCTGTGAGACACCTTATCTCGGGGAAAAAAAGAGGTTGTTCCTGAAGAAATGACATCTGCACCTGTTACGTGTCTTCCTTGCACCTGTGCACACATACACACACACACAAAATCAGTAGATATGTTATCCCATCTGAATCTAATGTGACTTCCTCTGGACTCATTATATCATGACATGAAGGTCACATAATAAATTTTCATATTTATTTTATTGTATGAAAGATTTATTCATTTCACCATTATCTTTCAGTCTCCCTAAGATTTGCATTGTTATCTTTATAAGCGATTTTGCAATAATCACCTCTTTTTCAATTGGCAGTCATAAATATCTAATAAAATTTTTGATTGAATATGGTTATATACCATAATAGTAAAACATTTATGTTAAACACTTTTATTATATAATGATCAGATATGCAATTCTGAAGCACAATCTCATATGAGTGGACAGAAAATTGCACATATGTTCCTGAATGTAAAATTCAGAGTATGTCAGATCTCACATGAAGTTTGTAATGTATCTAAATATGTATTAATTGCCTGTGTTTTATATAATTGGACATATTTTGGAAAATAGCTTCTATGTTACTACACTTTAGTTATTGTGCAATTGACCTTTGATAAAATATATTTACACACCCAAATTTGTCTATTTAATTGGTTGGGGAGTTAGAACTTGATTACTTTTGCTCCCAAGAGAAATGAACACCTACTATAAGAAATCAATGATTGTCTTGCATTGACTGAAGGCCATATGTCCAATCTACTGATAATATCTTTTCCTGGACACATCATTGTAAATTCATGCAATCACATTTGTCAGTTGGTAAGGTCCTTCTCGCTCACATGTGGATCCTGGGCTCTAACAATCCAATGTTTGTACCCAAGTGTGAATAGATATGAGTCAAATCCAGGAAAGTGGAGAGGGGTTTTGAGTCTGGAAAGTATCATAAGAGATCTTAAAGGAGGGAGACAGGGAAGACAAGCAAACAAAGTAGAAGAAAGAAATACTGAAGGGAAATGGTACATTAGGAAGAGTGGGGACAGCAACAGGATCATAATAGGGAGAAAGGAGGAGAATCAAACAAAATGAACCATGTATGAAAGTCCTGAATAGAAAGCTATTGCTCCGTAGCACGATTTACAAACTAAAATATTATGAGAGCCCAAAGATCTCATGACTCTGTCTTCTTCTTGAAGATTCTCTCTTGTGTTTTGAATATCATAAGGAACAGGGAGACAGTGAGATTATAAATCTGATTTAATTCAACTGGAATACTGACTGGCCATTTGACATAGTTCATGTTTCTTAATCTTAAATTTAGTCTCATCAGATACAAAGTGAGACTAATGATTATTTATACAATGAATTTAAAAATCAATATGAAAAGAGTAAATCACAGTTTATGTTAGGTTTATTTTAAATATATATACCTACAGAAAGTAAAAAAGTTATACTCATTAATGCACACATACATAATAGTATAGAAAATCAATGCAGCAAATTAGATATGATAGTGATTTACCAAAATAATATAAAAAATGACTATGCTCAAGGGAGGTAGACATAACCCAAAGTTTTACAAAGGAATAGTAAAAATTAGTACTATCTATCTCTGCAAAAACCTTTGCCTATCTCATCTAATAAAATTATCGCACGGACGCTAGATAGATCATAATGATTCCCACTTTATTACGGATGAGAAAATTAAGGATCAAGAAATTTGAGTAACTTGCCCAAAGCAACCAAATTAATTTGTGCAAAAGTTGGATATCAAAGAGAAGTCTGTCTTGAGGCAAACATTATAATCTGTCTTGGAGCTGAGAGGGAGAGATTGAACTTTTCAGAGGTGCAGAAACCAGAATCGGAGTGCTTGTCAGAGAAGTTATTTAGAAAGTCCTGTGACACCCAGGCACTGATGAACGATGCTGTAACCTCCTGCTTCTGCACCTGGCAGTTTGCAGACACCTTCCAAGCTCTGCTCCTGTCTCAGCGCAGCCTCTTGGGATGGCTGCTTGATTAATGAGCTCCATTCACAAAGCCTTGTGATGGGGAACACGTGCCATGGCTGTAACTAGTAAGTCCTATCATTGTTTGAGTTGGCATTGAGACATGCAGGCTAAATCTCCATCCTTGTAGCTAGGGAAATGGAAGGATAATACGATCAAATCTGAGGATTCATCCTCTGTGTGTCTGCAGGCTTATCGTCGGGGGCCACTTTGAATAGTAGTCCGTTGGATTCCTGGCTGGATGCAACGTGTTCCAGCTCCCAATGTTTATTAAGTATTTTCAAGATTATATCTTAACCTAATCCTTTCATAGCCTTTGGAATTCATTCTGCATTAGCTCATAGTCAATGCAATACCAGAGAAGTTAAAGAAAACGCCAGTGAACTGGACTTTCTGCAATGTTTTTGATTTACGGAAGAGTCTAGGAAGAAAAAATTAAATATAAAACGTTTTCAGAGGTATAAAATAGCATGAAAATGTAGGAATAGCTTGTTGAGTGTGAACTTCAGCAGTGAAGTCACACGGAAGTGTTACATGCTTGCTGGTTTCAGCCATCACAGAACAGAGCTCTTGTTATTTTTTGGTGATTTGTCTAAAATTTCTAAGAATTGTGCCTGTGAAGCTGTATGAAAAGTCAACTGAATTTAACAATATAATAAGATAAGCTGTTGCTTGGCCTAAGCCTGTGAACTCAGCATTAAGAGTTCAGATACTTCCCAGCAGTAATGATTCACACCAATAATCCCATCGTTTAGGAGGCAGAGGCAGGAAGATCTCTCTGAGTTTGAGACCAGCCCAGTTTACAGTGCAAGTCTAAGGACAGTCAGAACTACAGAGAAACCCTGTCTTTAAAGGTCAAAAAGAAAGAAAGGAAGAAAGAAAGAAAGAAAGAAAGAAAGAAAGAAAGAAAGAAAGAAAGAAAAAATTTGGATACAAGAAAATTGTCATTTTGAGACCAGATTGGACTACATTATAAGTACCAGATCAGTTATGGTTACACAGTTAGAGCCTACTAACTATAATAATAATAATAATAATAGGAATAGGAATACTACTAATAATAATGTATTAGGTCACTAGTCTTGCATTTAAAAGACTTAACCAAATATTCTGATAATTTAGAGAATTAATTCATTTGAAGCCATGGAAGACTTATTTCATATTAAAGTTGGTTTATTTGTTGGTACGAGAAATAGTGTATGTGTGTCTGTCTGTCTCTCTGTGTCTGTGTGACTGTCCATCTATGTGTCTGTGTGTATGTGTATTGAAGGTAGAAACAAAACTTCGGGGGGAAAATAATGGGAATAAGGGAGGAGGGAAGGGAAAAAAGAAGAAAGTAGAGTGACTAAAGCAAATTACATCATATTCTTATATGAAAACATCTTTATGAAGCTCACACACTATGAATGTACACTATTAATTTTGTTAAAAATTAAAATTAAAGAAAGTCAAATAAAATAGGATAACCTTAAAGCATGAGAAAATAAAGTTGGCTTATTGGCTCTCCTCAGTTTGTGTTTCAGTGAGTTAATACACTTATTTGGGAAGGAGATTTTTTCAATAACTCAGGCTTGTGCAAAACAATATTTTCAAAGAAATAATCACAGGTGCTTTTGCAAAATGTTACATATTAGCTTGCAAGCCAGGTCTTAAGATGTGCCCAGCAATCTACTCATTAATTCCTTCATTATTTCACAAATCTTAAGAGCAACCAGTGTATGTAAGAGGTGATAGCATGAATGAAAGATCTGGAAAAGGTGGAATGTCACACAACTGATGTTTGAAAAAGTACTTGGAATCTTCAGTGCAGTGTAGAAAAGTACGGGGAGACTAAGTAGTCTTGAAGTCTGCACACAGTTAAGAGGCTTATTTTAAACGACACAGTACCTCGACACATCATTTCTTTCTTTCTTTTTTTTTTTGGTGACACCTTTTGCAGAGTCTGAAATGCCACTCTACTATTAAGCTTACAAAGGATACAAAGGAAGGGAGAAGACTCTGAGTCAAACACTTACCAGATAAACTTGAAAATCTAAGTGTGAGTCCTAAGAACTCATGCAAACCTCAGAATTCATGCAAACTTGGGTTTGGTAGTGCATACCGGTAATCCTAGTGCTCCTGTGGTAAGATAGGAAGCAGAGACATAGCAATTCCTGGTAGCTGGAGGACCAGTTATCATATCACACTGAGTAGTGGACAGCAAGAGATTCTGCCACAAAGAAGAAAAAAGCCAAGGTTGCTCATTCAAGGTTGTCCTTTTTGTCCAAATCCAGAGTGTTATGAAGACACACACACAGACACACTGACACACAGACACACACACACACACACACACACACACACACACACCCCGCAGTGTTTTTAAATAGATGTAACACACAATGCATTTTTTATTTGAGGGCAAGAAAATAGCATCTGTCAGACTCTTTCCCAATCAGACTAAAGCAAACACCATTAATAACCAGTGAAAGAATATAAAGGCAAAAGTCTAGCAGGCAGCTTAATCTGTGATTTGAAGTGCACAACCCGAGTCTAATTATAAAGAAAGATCAGAAAAGCAAAATCAAATTGATGATACTTTACATAGCAACAGGCCTATAACTTTCAAAAGACAATATTATAAAAAGTCAAGCAAAAGCATTCATGAAGCCATTGTAGGGTGTCCATGGAAGAGACAGGGCAGTTAAATATACAGAGACTCTAAACTGACTCCCTAAATAACATTTATGGCAATTACATACAGTCAGTATGGATCCGTGCTTTGGCAGATAGATTAAGAACAATGTATGTTTTCTGGATTTGGTGAACATGGTGCATTATGTGAAATAAGGATTGACAAATGTTTTCTGAAATGATACCTCCATGGTTTAATCTTTGCATGACTTGCAACTTCTGCTTCAGTGATATACTTGAATATTGCATCTTCCCAAGTTAGTAAAAATTATGCAAGTGTTGTAGATGGTAAAAAAAAAACTTTATTTGTATACAATATTCTTTCTGCGTGTATGTCTGCATGCCAGAAGACGGCACCAGACCTCATTATAGATGGCTGTGAGCCACCATGTGGTTGCTGGGAATTGAACTCAGGACCTCTAGAAGAGCAGTTAGTGCTCTT